GTACGGTACAGCAGCCCTGAGCTTGGCCTTCATAATTCTATTCCATCACAAAGAATCAAACAAAGATGGAAGGAGTACACTGATATTCTGTACAGTACAGATGTCAATATCCAAGATACTTTATAAGATACTTCTTATTTACAAGTACCTCTATTAGAAAATGAAGTTAGATCAGTATTCCAGTCATTACCAAGTTGGAGGGCACAGGAATTGATGGATTGATGGATGCTTAGGATCATCCAGTATAGATCAGAGCCTTACCTGAAAAGGGAGATGCCAGAAGTTCAAGCTGATTTTAGAAAAGGCCAAGGAACAACAGATATTATTGCTGATGTACATTGAATAATTGAGAAAAATTAAGAATAGCAAAAGTCAATAAGTGCTTCACGGATTATAGAAAGGCCTTCGATTGTATCAAGCATGTCAAGCTGTGGAATGTCATTAGGAAAACAGGAATCCCACAGTATCTCATTGTCCTCGTGCAAAACCTATGCACAGGAGAGGAAGCCACAATCCAGATAGAACATAGCAAAACAGACTGGCTCCAAGTCAGTAAAGGAGTAAGACAAGGCTGTATACTCTTTCCTTACTTATTCAACCTTTATGCTGAATATATATTGAGGAGGCTGGATTGGAAGAAAATGGCTATGGTTTTAAATTGGAGGAAGATAACCTCCAGTTGATAGCAGTGTCATCAGTAGTGACTGATAGCTGAAAATTGAAATAATCTGCAAGCTATGGTAATGAAAGTCAATAAGAACAGTGAAAAAAATGGGACTAAGATTAAATATAAAGAAGACCTAACTAATGACAACAGATGTAGCAACTAGCCTTAGGATCAACATAGTTATGGATAACTCCTGCCTTGTAGTATCAACCGTCAACAATAAAGGAACCAGCAGTCCAGACATACACTACAGTAGCCACAAAGACATTGGAAAAGGAATTCAGTGTGTGTTCCTAATCTTTGTAGGTACAGACTACACGCTATCACACACGCAATAGTTTTCCTTGTAGCACTTTATGGAAGTGAAAGCATTGAAGAAGCAGGATGGAAAAACTATTGATGCTTTTAAAGTGTGATGGTGGGGAAGGTTGAGAATGCCATGGATAGCCAAGAAAGCAAACAGATATAGAACAAATCAATCCAGAGTTCTCATTCCAGGCACACTTGATCAAGCTCAAATTATATTTTTGACACATGATATGAAGACCTAATCTACAATGTGGAAAAGGTGGAAGGAGAGAGAAGAAGATGGGTGGACTCAATTATAGCAGCTATGAGTACATCATTAGAAAGCCTCATGGTCAAGGTTGGCAACAGATCTATGTGAGAAGGTGAAGGTCTATCTATGTGGTTCCTAACAATCAGCACAAACTTGATGATACATCACATAATAAAATCATTCATTAGTCTGCTTGAATTTAATTTGATCTAATGACATTATGGCTACATTTTCATTCTATGTTATCCCATGGTAAGTAAATATTATAAAAACACTGCACCAACTGCCTTTCCTGAGCAGTGCAGCTATAAAACCTCTCTGTGGTTCAAGAATAAGCATGTCATATGACTACTACTTCCACCTTAACCTAAAACATGCCACAAAGTCCTACTATGGTTGATGCAACCCAAAACAGTAGATGTACAAAGACACTCACCTTGAAACAAACCATGGATGAGTTTAGCTACCGTACTGTGTAAAGGAGTAGATACAGTTACAACAACCATGCATACACACACATACAGAAAAATCTGGGAGCAGTTCAGCCATACAGGCCTGAAAAAGATTGTTTAACAATCTGAAAAGAAGCACTTCATACATGCACCCATACTTTCAAATGTACAGCTCTATTCTGCAGTGAGGATGGTAAACTCATGACAAGACACTGTCAGAGTAAGATGCAAGATTTAAAAATTACAGTGTAATCTGGTAGCCAGTTATGTATTTTTCATCTTCAGGAGAAAAAAAATCTAGTATTATTTATTATAAATCTCCATGATATTTAGCTTTTCATTCTCTAGGTTTAAGAAGGGATATACCATAATTCCCAGCATCAGCCAGTCAGTACTTAAATTTTTTAGGACACAACTAACATTAGAGAGAAACATTATAAACTAGCATGTTATACCATAATTAGTGTTTTGCAATGTTACAAATTGGTACTTTTTACTTTATAAGTCACTTTTACCTTCTCCAGTTCTCTGGATTATCACATGAACATGAATTTACCTATCCCCAAAGTGAGTGAAATAAACTTTCCTTAAAAAAACAAAAACAACAACAAAAAAAAAACATAGAAGCACTTCTACATGCATACAACGCTTTTGTGAGCTCTGGCTTTCACACAGGCTGGCCTGCTTTCATAAAAGAGACAAAGCTCCCTCTGTTTACATCAAAAGAGAACCAGAAACGTCCTATTCTAATCTACCTGTATAATAGGTTTCTCATTCAAAAGCACAGTACTTGCTGGAATTAAGCTTCTTCCTAATAAAACTTAATAATCAGGGCTCTGAGCAACTTGTTCTTTGGAATAATTATTTCCAGTCATGGTTGCCACAGGAGAAGTGACACCTTTTAATTAATGCTGCTGCAAAACTTTCTACTGAGCCAGCACTAAGGTAACCTCATCTCCTGGGAACATTACCCCAGTCTGCATGATACAACATCAAGCAGAGCCCAACTATTTTACAGGAACAGAACATGTCACAGAACTTAAAATGTAAACTCTCAGCACAAAAATCAGCACAAATCAAACTATCAAAGCCCTCTTGTTCATGGGGGTAAAATCTCTTACCTTTAGTAGCAATTCGAACACACTGAGTTTTGGTCTCCTGTTTAAAAAAAAATAAAGAAAAATACCTTTAGTCCAATTTATTAGTACCACCAGTATATCATCTTGGCAAATTCTAAAACAGTACTTTAACTCATGCTGCCATTGTGTACAAATTATCATTTACAAGTTGAAGAAGACATGAACAGTAAATTTTAAACGTAAATGCAGAGGCAAAATGAGATTGCATCAATCTATATTTTTTCCAAGAAGTACTACTGGATCTTGCAAGTTGCTGGCATATTCAGGGAACGGGTTCCAGGTAAACAAAAGAGCATCTGGCTAATCTCTGTACATATTGATTCTGAGTGCATAATCTCAGCAGCAAGAAAATCCCACACTCTTCTTAACCACTAAAGAATGGTCAAGTCAGCTTTTTAAACTAACCCAAGTCTTAGCTTTTTTTTTTTTTTTAGCTTTTTTTGTGCCTTCAAGTCAGTTTTGACTCCGGGCGACTGGCTGGACTAGTCCCTGCAGTTTTCTTGGCAAGATTTTCAGACGTGGTTTGCCCTTGCCCGCTTCCTAGGGCTGAGAGAGAATGACTGGCCCAAGGTCACCCAGCTGGCTTCATGCCTAAATTAGGACTAGAATTCATGGCCTCCCAGTTCCTAGCCTGTTTTTAATCACTACACCAGATGGGCTCTCCTTAGCTGTTTATAGTAATGAAATACAAGGATACTATGATTTGAGTATCATTCTGTATATCTAACAATGCAGGCCAGATACATAGGAAGGTAGATACTTGTGATACAACTGATTGGGTGTAATGTACGGAACCAAATGCTGTATCCAATTTTACATCCCCACCAAATGTGGAAGAAAGTTCCTTATGTTCATACCTCCATCCCTGCCCAGAAATAAGCTGGTCTCTAATCCAAGTTTAAAGTTACAGAAAAGGAGGGTCACATACCATCTAGAAAGGAATTTGTAAAATAGTTCTTTTCTAAAGCCCAAGTTCAGAGATAAAAAGCATGCTTTGTACTCAGAAGATTCTAAGCTTAATTCCTGCCATCTCCATATAAGGCTGGGAGGAAATCATGCCAGAATCCCTTAAAGTCAGCCACAGTCAGAAACCAGCTTCACAATTCTACTAAACCAAACCATGGTTTCCTTGGTTTGGTTTAGCATGCTGTGAGAACCCAGCCAACTGTACTTTATTCAAAGAACCATAGTTAAACATTCCATTGTTTAGCATCAATACAAACCCAGTCAATATAGATAATGTTAAGCTAGGCACACCAATTATTATTAGGCATCTTTCTATACACCTGTACGTTTCTAAATTGACGCCAATATAGTCTCCAAAATTTTATGTTGTCTTTTGTCTTCCATTCCATCTGCTAATGCATCTCTCAGTTGAACTTACCAGTTAATTTGATCATGTATCTCTCCCTCTATGAGAATACAACACCAATTTTATGGTCATTAATTTAAGCACACACTAGCTTCAGGAAAATCCTCCAGCTCCACAAGCCATTGTAGGATGGTTTTAAAAATGATGCCATTTCCCCATCTTGCCACAATATTCAGCTAATTTTTATAATTACAACATTAGGCAAGAATTCATTCTAGAGGTTTGATGGTAAAATCACTGAAGCTGCAAGATCTATATTATTAACTGCAGCCAAAATGCGAATGGCAGGGTAGGAAAATCAGTCTTTCTAAAGCAGATTAATTATTCTGAAGATTACCAATTTAATAGCAAACCCTCCCTTGGCCCCCTCATCTTTTCCCAGCCATCTGCTACTGGGACATCATAAGTAGGAGACCGAGATTTTATGCAAGGCCATACTTAATTTTGAAACTGAAGTCTTAAATATCTCAGCTACTGTCCCAAATGCTGTTTCTCCCTCTTCTTGTCTCATATTTTGGTTTATAAGAGAAAATGATTCAGTGGCAGCAGTATGGGAGTTATCAAGTCACGTTGCTTTTCACACCTATAACTGCCAGCAGTACTTAACTTCCTGTTGCTTTGTTCTCTATCAATATACAATCTGAAATAGAAGCAGTGCTCAGTGGCACCAAAATCTCAAACAGTGAAGAAATTGCAGTAGCAATCTGTGGTCATACCTTCAGTACCCGCACAGCAGTCAAGCAATCTCTAACTTGTACACTGAGTTTTTGCACAAACAAGTAATGGATATAGGTGATATTTCAAATAAATGGCTTCTAAAAATTTACTGTTTTCATTTGAAGTATGGGGTGAAAGCTATGAAAACTTGGTAATTTTATATTAGCCTGCCGAGCAACCTAGGTTTTATTTTTCCAAAAGCAACTTAATATTTTGAACTGTTTTGGCTGTAAAACAGAGAGGTAGAGGGTTATTTGTTCTGAAAATGTAAAACCATAGCATGGCTGAACTGATTTTATTGAAATTACTACTTTAAATATTTTTGGACAGAATATTTGCTATGAAAAAAAACGCATGTGGAATATGCATGGTACAGAACCATTTTGTTTCAAAAAGAAAGCCAGGCTAAGGATTGAAACCTAAGGACAAAAATTCACACTAATTGAGATTATCATTGGAATTATAGAGGATGCAACATCATGCTTCTGCTGATAGATATGGGATACTATTAAGGCAAAGGAAATGGTCAATATAAATTGTGCCCCTCGTCCAATGTGGATTTTTGATTTTTTTTCCACATTAGGCATTAGAATGCCTACCAAGACATGAATCCAAGTGTTGAAATCTAGATATTTTCATTTAAAAATATATATATTTTAAGCTTTATTGCAACTCTTCAATCATACTGAAGCTTTTCTTTTATGGTCAGTAGCCCTCGTGAATTCAATTTCCAAGGAAAGTGGCATAAAAATGTAGCAAAATATATATATTTATTTTTTAACCTATAACAAGTATTCTTTTGAAGCCAAGTTGTTTGCCACACATGGCAGACATGAAAGTGAAAAAGAGTCAAAATCCCAATTCTGTACTTGGGACCTCTCTCTGGATCATGGTCTTGGTCTGACAGTGCAGGAAAAACAATTGATTTAGAGTTGGGCTGTGGTTGGGATTGCTGAAAATCAAATGAATGGATGGATGAATCAATAAACAAACAAGAAAAGCCAGTATGTACTTACCTTCTCAACACTGCTCATGGCTTGAAAATAGATATTATACCCTTTCCGAGGCACCAAAGGTGGGTTCCAGAAGCCTTGATAAGTTCTATTGTCACCAACTGTGAAAGGTGCTGCTTCTGGAAGATTGCCAGGAGACAGTTCTGCAGCAAAATAATATGGCGAGCCACTGCTCAGAGCATTTTGATATGTGACAGGAATCTGGTAGCAATCCATTGCACCAGTTTCTCGTTTGGTTCGATGAGGATGCAGTTCTTCAACAACAATCTGATAGGCGCTGTTCAAGACCGAGAGGAAGAATGACAGAATGAGTGGGTAAATGACTATATAGCCATCATGAAGTTTAAAGACTGAAATAAAGAGATGGTGATATTGGAAATGAGCCCTCTGATAAATAGGACATCATGACTATGATTTGGCCTTGCTGGTTGAGGCAGTTCAACATGAGGACTTTGCATCAATTCAGAACCAGATCTGTATCCATGTGATTGCATGGTCAACTGAGAGTGGATACTGGAGCAAAGGAAAGCAAATCAAGTCCATGTCTTCACTGTGCTCCCTGGGACCTTCCATAATTGTTCTGCTATTATGGATGCTAACCGACCTCTGTGAAGACCAACCTACAACTTGGCAGAAGAAGCAAAAAATCTGCTCTAGGGCAACTTGTCCAGATGACTCACTAAGGCAATCTCTAGAAAACACCCCTAAAGGTAGATGCATCAACTGACTTGGTCAATGGCATAGAATGTTGAAGAGATCAGAGCATTTTTTCCCCCCCATAATCAACCATGAGTCAAAAGAAACAGAGTGGAGATTCATGGTCATCAGACTCCTGGAAGAAGATACATAAACAGAACAGAACTGGAGTAAAACTAGTATTTTCTTTATAATTCTGAGATTCTGCTAAGTTATGGCAGTCTGTGGGAATTCTTGCCTCTCTCCATTTCTCAGCTCCATAACTATTACAACCCCCTCAACCAAAAGCTTCAGTATCCTGTATCTAGTGCCTGACTGTAGATACTGTTCAAAATGTATTTCCCCTTACCTCTGATTCCAGCCATTGCAGAAAAATGGAACCTGGGAAAATCATCAGGTTGCAAATATAAAGTATTTCACTGACATCTTACAAGAGGCTTTTTAATGCAGGAAGAAAGACAACTTTAAATCCAGAAGCTTTCCTTCATATTAACCACCCAGATTTCTTGGCAAATGATCGTACAAATAAAATGAAATAAAAACATTGGGGGGGGGGCACTAGCAATTTATTTTATTTCCTGTTTGTGTGGAATAGGGTTAAGAGGATTTTTTGTTTCCTTAGGACTTGCATTAGCTAAAGATGGTTCACTGACTGCATTTTTTTTTTTTTTGTCATTCTTCTGTTGGTCAGTCAGGAGAGTAGGTACCCCCGGCCTGCAACGTTCCCTCCTGTTCTCAGCATTTCAAGGTCAGCAAAATTGAAGATGACTGCAGGTCAACGTCAAACTGCTATGGAGGGACTGAGAATGCTGAGAATTAAAAGCTCAACATATCTGGTGAGCACTGGATTGGGCTTCAAGGAAACCCTTTCAACTTTAAAGGCTTTGGCATTTTAGCAGTCCAAGACTAGACTTCACATTACACAGAGTAATTTGTAACAGATTAAACATTCTGCTTGATAATTTGCAGCATTTAAAGTTAGCATTTCCCTTTGAAATGATAATACAGAAAGCTCAGTTTCAAGGCTCAACAGGGCAACCTTTAAGCCATGCCTGAAGCACCAAATTGCACTTGTCATGTTATTCCAAGACAAAGCATGTTGACAGGCATCTCTGCCTTCTGACCTTGATATGGCAACTTGTTTGACTCACAGCTATGCAGATCTAAAATATAAGCGACATCTTGTAATACAAGCACAGATGGAGAGAAATCTGTCCACTCTCTCCAAATAGTCAGCTCCTTTCCCCATAGTTGCCACTGACAAAAACTTAACACATTGTTTGAGCAGATGGCATTCTTCCTATTTAATAATAAAAAACACACTAATCTTTATTTATTTATTTATTTAAGCCTAAACTGCCAATAGTTTCCTCTCAAAGACAGCACTTGGTCATTCCTAATAAAACACCCATTTCAGTAGAGATCATATTTACAATTATTTTCAATGCAGAAGAAACAGGCAAACAACTGAAATGGTACAACTAGTTGAAATGCAGCATTCTGATGTTCTGACAGACAGTGCCATAAATTGCAAAGCTGAATTTGAAACTCTCATTTTAAAATCAGAAAAATAATGTAAATTATTTCAGAATCTCTCTCCCAGCCTTCTGACAAAATGAAATACAATAAAATAAAAAGTGATCACTTACAAAGATAGGATATTCAACCCAGTACAGAAATCTTTCAAGCAAAGAGGCCACATAGAAGTACCATCATCAGAAGCGATAATCTGAACTGGTTCTGATACATGACCAGATGCTCTGTACCCTATATAGTCCTGAATCATCTGCCAAGTGCAGATATAAGACTATTGATCCCTTAAACACGGGTAGAAGAAAAAGCCCTCTGTGGGCTTTTTGCCCTACATTCATTATATTTGCTTGCTTCAACCATCTCAAGATGGACAGCTATTCTGAGCCCCAAATTAACCTCAACACCTTCATCTAAGCATAAATGCAACAGTTAGGAACATGTAGGCGGGCAAGGGAGAGAAATCCAGATTTGCCCACGTTGGACAAAAGGGAAGTGTCTCAACCATCACCTCAGAAAAGCAGGTGGTTTAAAACCCAAGCCTTAAAGGGAGAAGGGAGAACACTCTGTGGGGCTTCACTATCTTCTGTAAACTGTAAAAAGAAAGGTTGGATGTTGAAGAGAAGCAAAGTGTGGGTCAAGGTAACACTGAAGGAACTTCTGATTTCAGGAATTGTTGTTTGGGTAATAAAATTCAGCTACAACTCTTTTTCAGAATTTTAGGTTTTATTTTAATGAATGTTACTTGTTAAATGCTTTAACATCCCTGAGACTTTAAAATTCCTACTTATTGGCTATCGTTTCATGTTCACTGCACATGCTCAGCAATTTGTGTAGTTATTCTCTTTTATGGATTTTGGAACCTCTTTAGCTTTGAGTGCTTCCAAACTACAACAACTCAGGAAACCATCTCCTGGACTGCTCCACAGTTTTATTTCTCCTCTGAACTATTTTCTTGGAGATTATTTTTAGTGTGCTGCTTGTAATTTTAGCAGTGCTATAGGAGTAATATCTCCAACAGTCACTGTTCTCACAAGAGTCTGTTTAAAGTGGAGAGGAAAATTGTAATCTTTTTCTTTTCTTATTTTAATAAAACTTAATTTACAAATAAAGCCTATTATATTGTTTTGGCTCCTAAGGGTATGAGGGTGGTTTTCCCTAGTATACTCCTCAAGGTCATACTACAGTTACAGGAGGGAGCACAACAGATTTTAATTTACTTTTGTAATTCATGTATTCCTTGATTTGCTAAAAGAGGGTGTGGATTATTTTATGTTCTACCCTCTGATGTTAAGGAGGAGAGTATTCCCTATTGAGATAGATTGTGGTAGCAAAAATACTACAAAGCCACAGTGCCAAGGCAGGCCAGAAAAAGTAAAATTCAGAGGATTTCTGGGAAAACATGGTAGAGACTCCTCATCTTTCATCCTATGGGTCCAACCCTGACCATTAAAATCACAAAGTTGGCTTCCAAACCCTGTTGTGTCATTACTCCTATGTTCCCATGGGGCTGTCTCCAAAATTTTGGGATTCTGATTGATAGGGATTCAATCTTTCACAAGGCCTTGTTCAAGTTAACCTGGGCTCATGAGATGGTTATTTTAATTGTTGTCTAACTGGTTTTTACCTTGGCTGCTGTTATGCATTTCATTTTGTTGTTGCTTTTGTTTTTAACAGTCATTAGCCTCCCAGAGTCACCAGGGTGATATGGGTGGCCATATAAACTGCTAAATAAATAAATATTTGGTCACATGGCTGTGTTTCCATTTCCTGCTGGGGAAGAGTTGAAACAAGAACAGACACAAATGCACAGTTATCAGACAATTTATTTGTGACTTAGAGAATCAAGGGACATTCTACTATACGCCATTCATGGAATAATAAACAATAATTGAACCCCCCCCCCCACAACTCCTTGGACATTGAGTTTTGATGCATCTGTGAGAAATTCATTGATGAAAAGGTGAGGGGTGGGGTGTGACTGAGTGAAAACTGAATAGAGAACAACTGTTAAATCTGAAAAAACACACACACAAATAACTGGAATCCCTATCTAAATTGGCAGATCATAATTTGAGATTATTGGAAGCAAAGCACCAGCCCTATCTCCAATATGGAGATAATATAACCAGACTAGAGTTGCTGTACCCATTTTCTCAGTTACATTCCTATCTACAGTATCTGACTATTAATAGCAAATTGCATCACAGGCTTAGGCCATGCTATTTCTCAAAAGAATGTCAAGTAATCAATTAAAATGCTCTTAATCGAGATTGGATGTGATTCTTGTTGAAAGGAAAAGTAACTATGACCTTTCAGGGTTGATGAGCCAGAAGCAAATCCACATCACTTCAATATTCAATTCATATATGGTTTATTTTGCTTGGGTAAAATCTACTCAAGTAGCAAAAAGCAAAGTGAGTGTGACACAAGGGACTGAAAACCAGTGTGGGCAAATGGTGATAAGCAAAGTGGAAAAGTTTACTCTATGAATGACTATGTTCAGATGCTTTTCCATGAAAAGATATAGAATTGTATGCACTTTTATTGTTACCTTTAAGAATCTAGGCGCTATTAAATTACAAAGTTTCATATAAACAGCTGGACTACTCTGTTGGGAACATAGGCAACTTATCTTAGACTTTACAGACACAGCTGCTCTTATTTTTCTGAGCAGCCAACACAACACAACCAGCCTTTTGCTCTCCACAGTACCAAGAGATCACTAAACTTGTCAATGTCAAAATCTTGCCTGTTTAGAATAATCAGAATTAGGGTATGGAACCACAGTGCAGTTGCGTATATAAAGCAAAATGTCTTGGAGGGGGGATAGGCTCGGTAAGGTTTTATTTATTGCCTAATTTATAGTTTAACTTGGAGCTAACATCTCATTAGAGTTGGATTTAAGGCAAAATCAATTTATGTCTAGGAAGGGAGGGTGCAAGGTGTCTGCAAGGCGGAGAGGTAAATGACAAAATGTTGGGTGCAAGTATGTAAGGATGTAGGTTGTGGCATGGTACCACAAAGCATGTTTTTTTTTTCATTCTGACA